GTTTATATGAGAGCATTTTTGAGAAAATATAGGGTGAAGTTTAAATCAATGAACATGGACATTCTAAAACATTTGGGAAACAATAATGTCACGTTTTTGTTGTATTTTAAAAACTTAAAACTTAGACTTATATTATCTACTGATGACAAGGTATTCAAGCTATTATAAGTGAACCGGACATAAGTTTACAGTATACAGTAAACTGTTGCAGGCACAGTTAAGGTAAAACAATGGCATTTACTCCTAGAATAACAAGCAAATACTTGTACCTGAACGTTCAAAGCATAAAATCTTTTTCTGCAATTATATGCTTCTTTGTTTTCTGATGGACATCGTATATGAATTAGGGTTCCATCAATGGCACCAATGACTCCTGGAAATGTGTCACCAAAATCTGCCCTGACCTCATTGATCTCATGCCCTAGCATGATGTAAAAAATACACTTGAAATAAACATTTTTAATTTTTACTATAGTAGAAAACATACCGAAATGACGGTATGTCCTTATATTAATTCTATATAAATATAGCCGATTCCAATATTCACAAGGTTGTCTATTTATATAGTTACATATATATGTATGTGCAAAATTTCATAACACTCATGTTAGCAAGTTATTGTAGCACTCTCTAATCGAGACTAACATAAATGTATTGACCTATCGAAAGTCTTTCCTTTGCAACGAAAGTTTCGTTCGGGTATACCATGGTAAAAGGTTGTATACTTTACTCACCATTTGACCATCTTATATACTGGTTCTTAAGGCCACAAACGGCTTCAGTAACTCGAACAACAGTCCGAGAAACACTGCTGTACGTGATGTCAAATCGGTCGGCGATTTCTCGCGTGCTCTCTTGGGTCGCCAGTGCCCATAGGAAGACCAATACTTGTTTCTCTGGAGGGATTGATGGCCTTCCAAAAGGATTGCCGAAGGGTGTTCTGCCAGTGTTTATCACTTCCCTTGTCAATAACTCTGCGGTGGTCCGAGTCATCCTAAAATGCGCCGCGAACTCATCCCCGAAATAATTACTTACTGTAGACTCAAAATAATTCTGAATTCGCGTTAAGTTTCTACGAACGAAGCAGCAGGACACCCCCGCTATCGCCACAAAGTCAAAATCATTTTCATTCCATAGAAACCTTTCAATTTCCTCGTCACAATTGACGAGAAAGTCGCAAATCAGAGGAACTACAACATTGTCGTCCATTTTGTTTTGTTGCGCCTCGTCAGCGATTAACCAATGAAATGTCAAGTGTAGGACTCAAAACGAGGCTCTATTCCTGGGAGGGAAAAGGCCTTTCCATTTGAACTGGAAATTTTCCGGAATGACAAACCGGAAATTTTGGCTAAATGGAAAGCGCCCCAGGTGTTTCTTTTTACCTTTAACGGTGTGCTCATTGTATTTGAGCGAAGAAAAAAGTTAAGCAGAATAGTCAAGGAAACGAAAACACGTTGTAATTTGTAAACAATTTTTCCCCGCCAGTGGCCTGCCAATCCACCGCGGGGCAAGCGATAATTTTCCCGCCAAATATTAACGCATGGGTATTATGCGTACTATGCGTTCGCGTCTTATGTAAGACGCGAAGGTCATTTATGCGAGGTTTTCCTCGTCTTAGCTAAGACGCGTCTAATCTAAGAACAGGTGTTAAGGGCTGTTCTGAAATAAGACCCGTCTTCGCTGAGTCGCGTCTTATTTTAGACGAAATGTGCCGTTTAGACGGAAAGTTCGCGTCTTATTTAGACGCGTCCTATGTAATATGGGTCTTATTTTTCCTCGCATAAATAGCCCTAATGTTGTCTTAAAGTTCGTTTCGATTTATTGAATTTATCAGACAAAACGGCAAGTTTAATTGATCAGTTGCTAATTTTGTGGTTGCATAAACGTACACATGGGAAAAAACGACAATCGATGTGCAATTTCGAAAACAAATGAATTTTCTGTTTCAAAACATCCTAACATTTTACTGCTTAAACGAGGAAAAACGGATGTCAACAAGTCAGAAACTAGCTGTGACCGTAAAATTATTTACGGTAAAATAGAGCACGCAGGCCACGTAAAATACCGTGCACAGTGCTAAAAAAGTCAAAGTTTCATTCACTCCTTTGAAGTCTTTGAAGACTTGAAGGACAGCAAAATATTGTCCGCTTCCTTAGTTTTGTTCTATGTCATGCTAAGTGTTATTGAAATCAGCTTATCTGAGAAAACCGCAAGTGTTAAGTTTCTGCATAAACGTACACATGCGAAAAACGACAATCGATGTGCAGTTTCGACAAAAAATATAGGAACTTTCTGTTTCAAAACATTCTAACATTTTATTGCTTAAACGAGAGAAAAAAGGATGTCGACAAGCGTAGTTACTAAAACAAGGAATGCCCTACAATGATCTACAATGATCTACAATGACCGAACGAGGGGACCTGAAAATATGCTTAAGATGCCTGTAATAAGCTAAAATGAAGATTTTAGAAAAAGACAAAAAAAAAGATCAGGGGACATG